CATGGATTTGCCTTCGCCTTCCTCTGAGGCTGAAAGAGTGTGACTTGCCCAAGTTCACCCAGTGGGTTTCCATGGCTGACTGGGGATTTGAATCTTGGTCTTCTAGAGTCCTAGTCCAACATGCATTTTGGCAGATGCTGTGCAAAGAAATGGTAAACATTGGTAGCTGTAATAGATGCATTTAAATACAAGCACTTGTCCTTTGCTGCATGCCAAACCTATTTCAGGTATCACTTAATCCACAATTTTAGCATCTAAACAGATCCTTAACAAAGACACTGGGCTCTTTTTAGAGCAGAACGGTGCTTCCCGAAAACTCCAGGAAGCACAATTCTACTCTAAAACAAGTTACCTCTGCTGTCCTGTTTTAATGTAAGTGTGATTTGATTCACTTTTCCAGTACCAAAATTCAGCACATTCTGCTTGATTGAACTATAGAACATGAGTTCCAGCAACCACCAAAATGACCAGAGGAGTCCTCACATTGTATACTTGCCATGTATTGCTTATATTTGTGGAAGGAAGAGACATTCCATTTGGCATCCTGTTCATGAATGATGATGACACATGTCATACCATCACAATTCACTTGTATGATTGTTGTACAGATTGGAAATCTCTTCCAACCATGCAACAAGCAACCTCCCACTAAAAAAACCTGCCTTTCACAAAGTAAATGCTACCACCTGGAATGATTTCCATATATGTAGCTGGAGAGTCAGGGGGATGAGTGGGGACATGTCCAGCATTTTTCCTGTATTTGAATGCACCGTGACTGGTGTCTGTAGGGGATGTCCCTCTACTAGCCTGTTGTAGGATGTCCAGCTAGTGGGAAAGAACTGGACATGTCCCTACTCACCACTCAACTCTCAAAGAAATCCATAGCTAGGTTTCCTGCTGCAGGATCTCAGTCTCTGTTATGTGAACAGTTGGGCTATTATGCTATTGCTTGTTTTGGAATGGTTTGTGTTTTGGGTTGCCAGCTCAGGAGTATACCAGACCCTGAGGTTTCTGGGGCAAAACTTGAGATTTAGGGACAGGCCTTGGTGATGTCATTATACTGTATAATGTGTATTATGCATTAAGCACCAACAACAGTTGCATACAGCTTGCCATTTACACAGAGAATGAGAGAGAGAGAGAGAGAGAGAGAGAGAGAGGGAGGGAGGGAGGGAGGGAGGGAGGGAGGGAGAGAAATATATTTTCATGTCTGGAAATTAAGAGAGAAATGCTAGCTAAAGGGGCTGTTCCCAGATCAAGGTGAAATAAGGGGATTATTCATTTTCACTTATTTAGGGAGATGGAATAAGGACCATTTAATCCAGCCTACATGCTCCTGGACAGTAGTAGGTGGGTGCACAGGGGAATGGAAGTGAGTCCTGGCACCACAATGACTGAGAGGAAAGAAGGAAGCTAGCTAAGTAAATACATAGCCACCATTTACCTGTGCAATGGGTGAAAACCTTCTGCCACAGACTCACCTCCACTCCTGCTCAGTGCCTTGTGGATGAAGTCAGCTGCAGGCTCAAAATAGGGGCTCATGTCAAAGGTGGGTGAATCATGTGCCTCAATGCCCATGTAGCAAATGCCGGTGCCTTCATAGTAATCAGCACCTCCCCGCCACTTGCTGTGTGAAGCATTGAGTATGTGAGTGATCTGCAGGCGTGCCAGCTCACGACGGTTGGCTGCTATATCTCTGTATAGGGCAGAAAACAAAAAGCAATGGAGATTCATTAACCAATACTACTTGATTCTACCCATCGGCATCACTCTCCACCCTCCTCTCATCTTGCACCAAGAACATTTGGTGATTATTATCAATGCTCCACATGTCTCCCCTGGCAGAGTATGTGGGTGTTAGGCTATCGTGTTCATTGCTGGTGGCTTTCCCTGGCCTTTCCTATCATGTGATGCACAGGCACAGAGGCCACGGTCCGACAGACATCTTCTCCTTGCTGTGATTCATTTATCCTCTGCTTGGATCTACTTTTGACAGCTGTGCCTTGAGGGGCCAAGCTGCATGAGACATGAATAATATTAATTAGGGATGTGTAGAAAATGAGCTCACTGAGATTTTATTTTTTAAAAAATGTTTTACCTGATATACACATTCCACACGTAACATGAAAATGGGTGCAATTTGGGGTCAAAAGTTATACGTTTCCAAACTTGGGGTGAGTTCAACAAAAAATGAATATATATATATATTTAACAACATGGGCACATTTAAAAAATGAACACTGCCCCACTGTGTACCTTTGGAAAATGTGCACAAACACACATTACTCAGTGTTTAATTCCTGAACCCATAATTTCCCTCATTCTTTTATTTGCATCTGGAAGGACAATGTCGCTACTGGTGCCAATAGTAGTTTCCCTCTAATGGCAAATAGGAGCTTAAGTAGGTGGCGGCTGGGATTAAAGCACAGGGGAAAACAGCTGCAGCAGATGTGAGCAACTGTGAGCCCTCCAAATGCTTTGGACTTCAGCTCCTATTGACAAAGGTAAAGAATCATGGCAGTTATACTCCAACACATTTAGAGGTCACCTACCCTCCAACATTTCACAGATCAAAATTTTTAAAACATTTCTTTTTCTAATTCAATAGTTCAATAATTGTAATGTTATATTTAATTTGTGCTTTAATACTGCAACTTTTTGGTGTTTTTCATATGTTATTTGTTTCAAGCATATTATCTTGTGTCCCAGTACTGGGACAAAGGAAAGCAAAAGCAATAATAATAATAATAATAATAATAATAATAATAATAATAATAATAATAAAATAGACAAAAGTATCTGTGACATCTCTCAGCCTTTCCTGTTCCTGCTAAGTTTAGCTGCAATCCTCATTGTAGCCTGGGAAGAGTGGGTTTTCCCAGCAACAATATATCATTGAGAGCTATCACCCACTCCTGGTGAAAATGAAATTTGCAAGAATTGGTTTGTTGACATGGGACATCCATACAGCTGCTTACCTTTTTTGAACAGTCCTTTGGGAAATGGGTCCTCCAGCATTTCACAGATTGAAAGCAAGATACATATGGTCAAGCAGCATCAGAATATTGTTAAGATGAAAAAGTTTCCCTAAGTGTATGGATCCTTGGGAAAGGCAAGATTCTTCCCATTTGTCTCATCTCCCCCACTTAATTAAATGAGAGCCAGTTACTCTTGTTCTTTGAAATCAGTTTGCTGCAATTGAAATAAGCTGAAGGCAATGGAGGAAGGTGTGAGGAGCAAAGAGAAACTAGGACATTTTTAAAAGCAGCTGGAAAAGTAGGATGACAGAGGATCAATTGAGATTGCTTGCCAAATCAGAATGATTATAGGGTATCAGGTCAAAGGCTCATCATCTTGGTTTAAAGTCAAGGACTGAGGACTGAGACTACACAATATGAGTCTCAATCCTCATGGGGTCTCCCCACTTGTACACCTGCACAGCTATAGTAGCACTACCTTTTCTCCTCATCCTAGCCTATGACAGAAGGCCTTGACCCCAATATCTGGGCTTGTACTTACTGATCTCCCAGGTAGAGTCCTGGCCAGACCTCATCAGCATGGTTACAGGCTGTCTTCCCCGTGTAGAGTAATCTTTCCAACTCAAAGACACTGAGGATGGGGTGGCTGACTGTGTCATCATGAATCCTCTGGACAGGAGCTCTGGATCCATTCCTGGAGAACCAGGACATGAAAGCCATTGGTGCCACCAAGCCCCCCCTTGCA